TTTTCGCCCCTCCGAAAGACAGGACTTGACTGGTTTTTCTCCCGGAGATTCTTCACATCCCTGCCCCATTAAAGGGGCGATGGGAACTCGGGGCTATTTCTTTTGTTTTGTGCCTCATATTGCGAAACTAGAGGGGGGTGGTAGATTTTACGCCACTAACATACTGCGAGGAACCGAGTCTATTCTTTGGGCTTTGTCGCTCGTTTAGCACCACCCGGGGGACACGTGTAGGGTGGACCCTAGGGTTAAATGGTCGAAAACTACGGACGCCAGCGACTCATAGCATAACTAATCACAAATCACTACAGTCCTTCACAACTTCACTGGTAACACCAAGGAACGCCACAAAACACGGTCTTGAACTACATACATCCATCAATGTACTGCATATATTACCCGGTCGTCACTCCATTAAGTGAGCGTCAGCCTTACACGTCGTTTACTAGTACGAAGCTGTCACTCGAGAACCTTTCTCCCCAATCGATTTTGTCGGTTCTTCGAGTTTATATACATACTCATTACACCACACGTTAAACCATGCAGTGGCGGTGTACGAATATCCACTACCCCATATCGTGCCGTGGGTGTCGTAAGAAGCGACAGAGGGAAATTGAAACAGATGATGGGCAGCAGCATCTTCCTGATAACAACTCAAAATAATAAAAAACTGCAGTTGACAACTCGCTCGCCAAGAGTGTCAACTATGGCAAAATCCCTCATATGAGGCAATCTATGGGGGAGTCCTATGTTCAGTAGAAGAAGTGATGATTATGATGACTCATTACATATTTAGAATTATTTGTCTTCTATTTCTTAATCTACTGCTAGACATGAGACTCACCCGTTGTAACAAGGTGTGATGATATAAAATAAATGCGCAATAATATTTAATGTGATTTGATTACGCATTTACAAATACGGTAAAAGTGGGTCGCATCAAATATCAGACTTACGAAATGTTTGCGACGTAGTTAGATTCCTATAAGTAAGCTAGTTTTAAGTATTCTTGGTTATTTTCAATAACTGTACGTACATATGGTTAGATGTAGTTTCCTCTAACCTACCACTATCGCCAACACACTAGAAAGGGTTGCTCTTAATCGCCACGCTTTACAGGCTTATTAGCGATTGCGGTTTCAGAGGTCTTCCACATTTGACGCTACTCCCTATCGCTGATCTGGCTGTTTTAATATCGGTTGTTTGAAATTACTTTTAACTTTTTTAAATAAGGGATACAAACGACTTTATTGTCCAACTGGTGGTAAGTGGATGCTATGCTAGACATCTACATCTGTCTCAATAAGAAACAAAATGCAGATGCGTTGACACTCCTAAGGACTAAGATGAATTGACTCGTTACCAGTAAAAAGGGACTCCGGAGGTTCACTACAATTCACTATACGAAATACAGCAAAATTATTATGATGTTACACACTGGTACTCTATGAGAGTGGGGTTCTTCTCCGGTCGAGCCGACCCATTCGTAATGTAGAATACAAATATATATATATACATATATATATATATATATATATATATATTATATATATATATATATAATGATGTGTGGTTTGCCTTGCTTACAAAACAAATATTGTTAGAAACCGTATAGGAGACACGAATAACTAAGTGCTGCAAGAATAATAATAGTAAGTTCAATTCACATATCAAATCAAAAATATCGTTCAATCACCAAGAGTGATAATAAAGATGTTATAATGAAAATTGCAACAATGTTTTTAAAGCGTAACACTTAGCTGAACAATTGAAGTAATTTACGCAACTTGCAATACAACAAGAGTGACACTTCAAATAATATTCATGTAATCAGAGAAGAATTTTATTCATTAAATGATTTATTTGATTTACCAATTGGTCGTCAGTTCAACACGTTTGTTGAAGAGTTCCTAATGAAGTCAAGTCAGTTCTTGGTAGTTGTTTCAATATACGGGTATAACTTGATGGGTCTTCTATTGAGCTTGGTGCTTGAGCTGGTTTCATAAGATTATTAGTTTATTTGAATAAATTAGGAAAATTCTTCTGAATGCCTAACCACGTCTTCATCAACATAACACATAAAATCAGTGTAATTCAAAATAGAAGCAGTATCAGATGTATCATACCTTGACGCTACACTCCATCTTAGAACTGTTAGGCAGCATCTATTAAATGCTCAATCAAAAACAAAGACAAAGTCTTTGTCAAGAATTTTAGAATATCGTACTTATTCGATTAATCCAAAACATTTTTAAAAAATAAAAGTTAGTAGTAGTAGTTCAGAACTATGTTGAAATATCTAATAAAAACAAAAAGTTTAGTTCACCAATGTTGTATGTTTTAAGTTTTTGTTACAAAATGGTAAGTCGGTTTGAACGTGCATGCGGAATTATATAACTGTACATAACTTTTACAGGATTTATTTCTTGCGGTTAGGGTTTCCAGGACAGTGACAAGGTTTTGGACAGTTTGTCTTATTACCCTGTGGCGCCGTTGGACATGGTACAGTTGTTGCCTTTCTCTCTTTTGTAAATCCTGGTCCCTCTGGATCGTTTACCACCTGCTTCATTTTATTCATTAAATGATTTATTTGATTTGCCAACTGGCCGACAGTTCTGCACATTTGCTGTAGAGTTCCTAATGAAGACAAATCAGCTCTTGGTAGTAATTTTACCGTGTCACCTGATACTGGTTCTTCTAATGAGCTTGGTGCTCGTGCTGGTGCAGGTGCTATCTCAACACTCCCGCCTGAAATAGAAGAAGGAGGGGCACAAGGTTTGCTGATCGGAGGTGGTGGAACATTTTGCAATTGGGGATAGCTATTTCTCTTGCACTCTGTGCCGCACTTTGACAATGGACAAGTTGGTAGTAAATTTGTTGATGTCTGGTTTATTTTGTCTGGCGTTCTGTTTGTCGGACACTCTTTGTTGTCACATTTAGCTGGTCTATTAGCCGGACACTGTATATTGGTGCAACTGTAAGGTTGATCTGTACGATACTCTTTTGGTTCGGAAGTCTTACAATCGGGGCAAGGGCATGTCACTTTAATAATTCCAGCCTTTACATCTTTAATTTTTCCAGGAGTGTAGTTTAAACATTCGAAGTGCATCCATGCCTTACAAGCACCTTTACATTGCAATCCGTTCTTAGGGGTGACGGATCCCAAACAAATTTTGCAGGGATTTTTAACCTTGCCGCACTTGGACATTTTAAAAGTATTTAGAACCGTTTTAAATCAGTAATCATGGTTGGCTGGTTAATATTCTTCTGTATACGTTGTTTAAGGTGACATTATTGCTTTATTTATAAAAATTGTTAGAGAATTGACAGAACGAACAGACATTGTCAATTCATTTCTTTTTTCTTCTCTTTGAGTAGTATTTTTTAAACAAATGATTCAGTATGTGATGGTGAGCGATTAAAAATATTATCAACTTTTTATCCAAAAGTAAATAAATATAAAAAAATGTGAACGTATACAAATTGTTGGGAACATTATTTTTTAATTTAAAAAATTGTTGTAAAATTTATAAGTTCTCATTGTAAAAATATTAGGTAAATGTGAAACCATATATTTCGCTTAATTAGGTCTAATTAATAAATATTATACTAGGTGTAAAATACCAAGATGAGCGACGAAATTCATTATTAAAATAAACATCCTCCGACTTTGTGACTTTTAATGCAAAGAGTAGTAATTACGGGAAAGCCCCATCAACATTTATAGTAAAGACATTTAAGTAGTTAGTATACTATATATTTAATTATCTTTGATTTATAGTTTCGTCATCATCATCATCATCACAGGACATCACAAGTTCACTGATGAATATAAACCCGCCGCAAGGAATGCCTTAAAGCACGGTCTTGGGCCACCACATGCTAAAATCCCCCACTAGATGGATTTACGATGGTAGGAGATGGATACTGAAAAGGTTTACCATTTCTATTACACCAATTAAAACTCAACTGCTGAACATAGACCTCGTTCACAAAGTTGTTCATGGGGGGATATTTGCGGATGGTATGCGGGTTGACAATCGCAGCCCATTTTTATTCAGCTGTTGTCAGTAAAATGGCGATGCCCTTCTCCAATTCAATTTTCCTCTGTCGACTCGAAAGCTGAGCAGCCCCGAATGCTGGCAAGTTGAGTTGAATACGTCAATTAAACTGTCGGTTGAAGTTAATTAATACTCGTCAAAAGCTTCGAGCGTAGTGCTCCCAACAACTACCAGCACAGGTAAAATGAACGTTGCAATTGACTTTTGTCTTGTCCATATTCATTTTAAGACCTATTCGTTGGGAAGTACTATTGACGTGATTAAGCATAGTTATGAGGTTCTCCACAAAGACGTATATTTAAAATCATCTTAGGTTCTCCATCGATTCTGCCATAAGGTTTATATGACTTCCAATAGATGGCGATATAAATCTCTTTTCGCCAAGCTTAAAATAACCAGACGTTTACCACCTATGGCACCGCTTCTCGTCATCTCACCGATCTAGGTATTCAAGCCTTAGCATTACGAGTTGATTATACTGCCATCTATCGGAAACCAAAGAAAGCCATAGGTACTGCAATTATATTCCTGGTATAGTTGTAGCATAAATGGGTCGGCACGACTGGGAAAAGAACCACGCTCTCACATTATACCAGCGTGAAATAGGAACTTAACGCTGCTATGTTTCGTTTGGTGAGGGTAGAGAACCCTTTTTACTGGAAACGAGGCATTCCATTTTAGTCCTCATGGGTGAAAACGCATCTGCATTTTGATTCGTTATTGAGGATACATCTAGATGTCTATGGTTCACAGCAACCACTTATCTTGTGGACTGTGTGCTCGTTTACCACACTTATGCTAAAAAAAATGCTTATGTGTGGGTTTTCTATTTTTTTTTTCAATGTACGCTGACGCCTAACATCAAATTGTCTCTTGGTGAAACTCGTCCATTTGTAAAAGCAGGTAATGAAACACCAAAATACAAATAACCAAATATTTATTTTAATTACATCGGTTTTTCTCAAAAGCTTCCATCATTCTACACATCAATTCTTTCAATTGGCCAGACAGCTGCCCTACGGTCGAACACATTTGTTCAATGGTGCAATATAAAGATTTTTGGGTTTCTCTTGATTTCGACAGCTGCGAATCCGACGACGAAATATACTTTGGAGTAGTTGTGTCGCAGTCTGCAAAAGAAAATGACTTATTTATTTTTGTTTTTCATAGAATAAAAAAAATACAGAAAATACAGAGGTAACTAAGACGAGCAGCAGAATCGAATCATCATCAAACAAAAAACGGAGGGTGTCTACCAGCCCGCTAAACGTGGCAACAATGGCGAATATCCCCTCTTTATTTTTTATTTTTTATAGGAGGCAAATGAGATTATGGCTCACCTAATGGTGAGTGATTACCGCCGCCCAAGATCAACTGCAACACCAGGGGAACTTCAGATGCGTTGCCGGCCTTTTGAAAAGGATTTACCGGTCCAGAAAAATCTCTGGTGTTAGTCTATCGCACGAGGAAGTTGTACGAGGACGAAAACTTCTTTAAAATCGCAAATTCAGTGGTGGACCGCCAGTCATCCAGATGGTATGGATGGTATAGCGAGATTCCTCTTTATGACAATCTATGGTTAAGATGCACAGACCGCGGCCCGCGGGCCGAATGCGGCCCGCCGGTCGAATATTGGTGGCCCGCCGACAGCAAAAATAATACTCTCGTACATTCAAAAAATATTTAATTATATTCCAGAATAAAACCAAAAAAAAAATATGTTTGAAAAGAAATTTGAATCTCGCGCGCGCGCTCTTAAGTGTGCTTATCGGTGCGCCGTGCATGCGTCGGTAACAGCGGTCGGTAATGTTCGTGCTGATCTCGGTTAAATCCGTTTTCTTGAGGAACCGCCGCGGCTGGCGGCGCGGCGACGACGCCAGCGCGGTGGCGGCTTATCCACGGGTTATATTGTTAGAGCAAGCGAGATAGCAATAGTCCTGAATTCCCGATTGCTCGCGTTGGTAGATACAGAGTTGGTTTCGTGATTTCTCCAGACAGTTTTCGACTCTATACGCGCGGTATAAAAGCCACGCTAACCGCAGCGACCGACAGTTCGGTTTTAATTTGAGTGAAGTTCAAATTCAACGTAGATTTCCCCTTGTATAATTGTGTTGTGAAATCGTAAGTATAAATCTGTTATTAAGAAGTGTTTCCCTACCTATTTAATCAATTATTTTTGGTAATTTAAAAAAGGATGGGTAATTTAAGCAGGTACTGTAATTGTTTTTAGGTGCTGTGTTAATCCTAGCCAGCATTAGAACGCAACATGTACAAGCCAGGACCTAGTAAAAAATATCGGCAGTTTCAAGAAATTCGGACTGAGAAATACTGTTTTGTATGGTCGCATAACAAAGTCGTTTGTTTAATTTGCAAGAATTCTGTTGCGGTTGCAAAGGAATATAATGTAAAAAGGCACTATGAAACGCAGCATCCTACTTTTACCAAGTTTACAGGCGAACTAAGAAAGCAAAAAATGTTGTCTTTAAAACGGGAGCTTATTGGTCAGCAAGCTATGCTTACAAAACCCATTCAAGATTTAGAAACAGCTACAGAAGTTAGTTATGAAATTTTTCGAATGATAGCAAAGCGAAGTCGCCCCTTCAATGATGGAGGTTTTGTAAAAGAATGCATAGAAATTGCCGCTAAGAAAATGTATTCCAGAAGCAGCAAAAAAGTTTGAGTAAATTCAACTGAATCGTATGACTATCCAAAGACGAATTATGTCTTTGTCAGGTAATATTGTGGAACAATTAAATGAAAGAAACTAAGATCATTGAATTTTTTTCATTAGCACTCGACGAATCCACTGATATTAGTTGCACAGCTCAACTTCTGATATTCATACGAGGTATTTCTCAAGATTTTGAAGTCTTAGAAGAATTATTAGGAATGTGTCCATTGAAAGGTCAAACCAGAGGAGTTGATATACTCAATGTACTTTTGGATGAGTGTTCAAAACTGATTTGGACTTATCAAAATTATCGGGAGTTGCGACTGACGGTGCTCCTTCAATGATTGGTGTCAATTCTGGGCTAGTTACTTTGCTGACAAAGCATCTTTTTTTTTTATAGAATAGGCTGACAAACGAGCACACAGTCCACCTGATGGTAAGTGGTTGCTGCGGCCCATAGACATCTACATCTATCTTCCATTACAAATCAAAATGCAGATGCGTTGTCACCCGTGAGGACTGAGATGGAATGCCTCATTTTCAGTAAAAAGGGTCTCCGGTTCTCTACACTCACCATACGAAATACAGCAGCATTAAGCTACTATTTCACGCTGGTATTCTGTGAGAGCGTGGTCCTTCCCCGGTCGAGCCGACCCATTCGTGCTACAACTATACTACTAATATAACTGCAGCATGGCTCTACCACGTAGAGAACGTCTGCAAGAAAAAACATAAACGCTGAAAATCTCATGCAGTTTCACTGCAACCACCAAGAAGCCCTCTGTTCTAAAAAATTGAATTTAAAAATGTCATGAAAGTGGTAGTTTCGACTGTAAATTTCATAAAATCACGAGGTGAGTTCTCGTCATCACAGGCAATTCAAACAATTCCTTGATGACGAAAGCGAATATGATGATTTACTGTATAGTACAGAAATAAGGTGCTAAGTCGTGGATTGACACTGGAACGATTTCTAAATTTAATAGAAAAAAATTGGAATATTTCTGGCGGAAAAACAAAGGGATGTTCCGGAACTTAAAAATCCTGATTGGTTGTGTGATTTGGCTTTTTTAGTTGATATTACAAATCATTTGAATGTCTTGAACACACGGCTTCAAGGCAAAAATCAACTGATATCCCAGCTCTACGCTCATGTATCATCCTTTCAATGCAAGCTGACACTTTTCAGATCACAATTGAATTGTGGAAATTACAATCATTTTCCGAATTATAAGAAAATGGCTGAAAAATTCAACAAAACTGCGATTAATTTCAGTTATGTAGAAAAGCTAGATATTTTGATTCAATATTTTCAAGACAGATTTTCGGAGTTTAAAAAAGTGAAACTTCTGTTGGGCATAATCAGCAATCCTTTCACGGTTTCAGTTGAAAATGCGCCAGAGTCAATGCAGTTAGAAATTATCGACATTCAAAACGACCAAGATTTACGCATCAAATTCAACGAAGGAGACTTGCTGAACTTTTACCGCTGCATTGATAAAAATACGTACAAAGAGTTGCGCATAAACGCTCTGAAATGTGCCAGCTTATTTGGTTCTACCTATATATGTAACCTTTTCAATACTAAATAATAATAAAACAAAAAAATCGAAACCGCCTTGCAAATGAAAGTTTGGAAACAGTTTTACGTGTTGCTACAAGTAAATTTGAGCAAATATAAAAAAAGATTGTAAGCACTATGCAGGGCCACGCTTCAAATTAATAAATTCTTTTTCAATTTTAATACATTATTATCAATTCTTTATTGTCTTTAATTACCTATACTTCTGGCGGCCCGCCATCAGTTCATAATTACCTCTACTTCTGGCGGCCCGCCATCAGTTCATAATTACCTCTACTTCTGGCGGCCCGCCATCAGTTCATAATTACCTCTACTTCTGGCGGCCCGCCATCAGTTCATAATTACCTACACTTCTGGCGGGCCGCCATCAGTTCATAATTACCTACACTTCTGGCGGCCCGCCATCAGTTCATTATTACCTATACTCCTGGCGCCCGCCATCAGTTCACAATTTGCCCGAGTGGCCCCTAGTCTTAGTAAGTCTGTGCATCAGTGATCTATGGGATAGGCTAATCAAACTATGTTCAGCGTGAACTTTTGATAAGCTTTACCTAATGAATGAATGATATTTCCTATTCCATCCATTAAATTCAAATAAATCAAGCACGAGGGATCAACGCGTGGAGAGCGAAGGTTGTAAATATCTTAGTTACCCCCTATTTGTTTTGGATACATTAATATGAGTTTTTCCTCATAGATACACTTATTTAAAACCTAAGTAACCGGTTCTTATGACCAGGTTATTATTAAATCGCTTTCGTGTACCTATTAAAAATTTAAATTAAATTATGTCTGGTCGAATTCCTGATGAGCTAGAGTTGAAATTTAAACATACCTTAGAATCGGATGACAATGTAAGAATATGAAAATACGTTGTATATTAAATATAGGTTAGGTATATTAACAATTTCATCGTACATAAAATTAAAGATTTTTTTTTATTTCACCACATTTAATTTAGTGCGTTATCGTGGTATTACAATGCTCTAAATTACATGTGGTGCATCTCACGCTGCATAAAGATAAGATTGATTGATATTTTAATTGTGTAAATTGCATTCATATCATTGATAATATTTTTTAAATGATGTTTCAAGGAGTTTTAGGTCGAATAAGTCGAAACAGTATAAATTATTATCTTAAGAGGATAGAGTAAGTCAGCTCAAATTCTAATTTCGCCCCCACTTCCCCGCGCGTCGTATGCTATGTACCGACATGTTTGTAATCACTAATACTGTAAGTAGATATGTCGTTAGACACTTATTTCATTAGGTTTATCATATTTATGCCTGTTTCTTAACGCCAAGCAAGCCGCTTCTTATTTTTATCACGGTTATTTCCTATTTTAATTTTACGTCGTACTGTTGCGTAATGTATATTCTGATCGTAAGCGACACAACTTCTCCTTTCAAAAGCCTAAGCGATACTAACGGGGCGACTGGAATCAAGCTCAAGACGCCGATAGTTTAGGTAATTTCTTTTTTACAGCGAAAATAATGGTATTTTAAAAAAAGTAAATGACATAAGCACTGCTTTATAGTTAGTTCAGTTAGTATGCAAAGTTTCATGATCTTATTTAAAGTATTTTATGAATAACAGCGGTTTATTGTTTATTTTGGAGGTAACTTTGGATTTTTTTTTCTATCGAGAAAATTTTACGAAATCGTGTTTTCGTCTAACATAATCATTAACATTAATCCTTAACTTTACCATATATTTATTTCAAAATTAATGCTGCAATATTTTCGGCATAACGAAGGATCTTGCTAAGCCATTTGACATTATATTTCCCCTTAACGTGTGTAGTTATCTATTAAGGTTTTTATGGCACCTTTTTAAGTGGGGGGCGAAATTAGAATTTGAGCTGACTTACTCTATCCTCTTAATGACGTAAATATTCTTATTATGAAAAAAATCGACGTAAAGCACTGATCATTGCAACTTTAATTTATCATATCCGATAGAAATTAGAAAATAACACAGTGCTATAATTGGTACAATTAAAACTACAGTAGTCATAATTATATAACTACATTTAGGTAATTTTATACTATCGCGGCCACCTCGTTCTTTGGCTTTATAAAATCGAAAAATCATCCGATTTCGATGATTTTTTTTAAA